TGATAACAACAACATAATAATAACTCTTAATAAATATATAACCTTACATAAAATAGTCTTTGACTGTAAGTAACTAACAAACCCAGTGTGGTTGACCCCCCGCCCTTCTAATGGTTAATGGTCTGGCCAACCTTTAATTATTAGTTGGGAACCCTTTTAAGTATTCAGAAACATCTCAAGGGGACGCCTTTGGGATAATATTATCTATATAGAACCTAGGGAACCTTTTACCTGAGGGTAAAAGAAGTAATTAATCTTTCTGAGGAAAGGTAGCAACTTGACTGAGGCCAAGTATTATCCTAACTGCAGTTTTAGGATAAGTGGGAATCAACCATAAGTCAGTAGGCAAAAGTCCTAGCTGTGTGTTGAACTTAAATAGCCTATTGTGATAGGTAACTTGGATTGCACGCTTGCAATATGCATCTGGGTGTAGTTTGTGTACTTGTTGCAAATAGCCACCACCACTACCACTGCTGCTGCTACTACCATCATTACTAAAATCTATTTCATTTTTTTTAACTTTGAATAATCTTTTTAAAAAACTATTCTTTTTTAAGCTCTTATTTGTTATACTTTCATTATTAAGAATTTCATTATGTTTATAATAAGCATAGTTCACAAGCTCATAAATAGTTGGTCTTTTTGATGGATCCACATCCCAATATTTTTGCATCAATTGCACATAATCATTAGGCATTCCAGGTAATATTGGTGGTCGTAAGCCTTCACATATATCAAAAATCAAACGATGATTGTGAGCTCTATCACCAAATGGTGGATGGCCTGCAAATATTTCCCACATTAACATCCCAACACTGTAAATATCTGTTTCTTTTGTGTTCTTTGTATTATTTGTGCCTCTAAGTAGCTCAGGTGCAATATATGATATAATTCCATATATTTTATTTGATAACTTTTCATCAACTGGTCCACATAACCCCAAATCTGTAATATAACAAGTACCCCTTCCAATAATATATTACCACTATGTAAATCACAATGAATTAAATCTTTTTCATGTATATAATATAGGAAAATCCTATATACAGGACCGGTCCTGTGGCTGAATATACAGTACCTTCCTAATTTGGAAGTGGCATCTATTATCTGTGTGAACCCTTGCTAATTCATGCGCGTGATGAATAATATAATAAATTTTTATATAAATTTATTATTATTTAAAAAAAAAATCATGTCATCATCATTATCAAATTATGAGGAAATTGTGTAGGATATGGGGGGCTGTAAAATAATACTGTTTAAGAAGTAAAAATAAAATCGTATTATCTTTACAATGAAATGAATGCTTCAAAATTTAATATTATTGATCTTCACAAGAATGACCCTTAAAATACAAATAACCAAAACCATCTTGTACAAAATATAGACAGAATATAGAACCCATATTATATACAAGACCCTCCTGTATATTTTCTTTATGGGCGGAATATACAAGACCCTCCTGTATATTTTCTTTATGGGTGGAATATACAGGACCCTTCTGTATATTTTCTTTATGGGAGGAATATACAGGACCCTCCTGTATATTTTCTTTATGGACGGAATATACAGGACCCTCCCTATTACTATATTTTCTTTATATATAGACAAAATATACAGGACCCATATTATATACAGGACCCTCCTGTATTTTTTCTTTATAGGCGGAATATACAGGACCTATATTATATACAGGACCCTCCTGTATATTTTCTTTATAGAGGAAATTTATAGAACCCTCCTGTATATTTTTCTTTATAGACGAAATATAGAACCCATATTATATACAGGACCCTCTTGTATATTTTCTTTATAAATGGAATATACAGGATCCATCCTAAATACAAGACCCATATTATATACAGGACCCATCTTAATACAGGACCCCTCTGTATATTTTTTCTTTATATACGGAATAAGGTCCCATATTATATATACAGGACCCTCCTGTATATTTTTTCTTTATAGACAGGATAAGGTCCTGTATTATATAGAGGACCCTCTTGTATATTGTCTTTATAGACAGAATATACAGGACCCATCTTGTATATGATGTTCATTCATCTTTTCAATTATTTATGATTATATTTTAGCATTCAATTATTTGTCATACATTGTTATTCATTGTTACAAACATATGGTTGAATTCAATTGGCCAAAGAAAATTAAATAGAAGCTCTATAGGGGACTTTGTTGCTTTGTAGAGGACTGCATTTATTTATTGTTATTGGTACTATAAAATGTGCTTAAAGATTCGCAAAGCTTTCTAGGTACAGAAAGAAGCAGCAGGATAGTAATAGTTTTTAAATAAATTTGCAAAAATAAATTAATTGAAAACACTAAAATTAATCATCACGCATATGAATTAACAAGGGTTCTATTAAAAAACATGCAGATCATAGTGCCACTTCCAAATCAGGAAGGTCCTGTATATTCAGCCACAGGACCGGTCCTGTATATAGGATCACCCATTAATAAAAAATACAAAACGAAAGTGATTATAAAGATCACATGTCCGGAATACGATTGGACGGCACTTCGATAAATCCGTTTATTTATCATAAAACTTTGGTCATAGGTTTGACAATTTAACCACAGTTTAGGAATTTGCCCATAGTTTAGGTAATTTTTTTAAGTTTCGTCACTAGTTTAGGAGCCTATATTCCTAATTTCTATAGATAAACTATTTCAGATTTGTTAAAATAATTTCAGCCACCATCACTACACAAAACACAATCATGAAATAAGAAAAATATAGATAGTGGTGTAGGTATTGAAATAAATAATTAAATCTTACATTTATTTTATTATCAAAAAAAAACAAAAACTTCCCAACCACCAAATAAAAATTATTTTTTTGAATTATATCGGTCACAGATTCGTTACTATTAAAAATTTTGTATTCGCTGACTTGGAATTCTTCATCACGGGTTCTAAACAATAATTGTCTTATTGTAATGTCATTATTTTTCGTTACAGATTTTATGAGCACAGTTGATATAAAAATTGAACCCATTTCCTTATTTATTTATCTTAGAAATTTTTATGTAAAAATTATTATGAGGATTTTGAGAAAAAATTATTTGTTATATGTCTTTAGTATTGAAAAATGCAACAAAAATCAAAATATTAAGTAAAGCTCTTTATCAACAACAAAGAACACTAAAAGATAAAATTGAATTAGATCCAATTTAAATTTTCTGATATGATTGAACAATTTGATTCAAGACTTCAAGGTTTTTTTGATGGAATGGTAGATGCTCTAATTCCAGAAAGCTGCTAAAAAATCAATTGTAACATTTTGTTATCTATTAGTTGGGTTACAAAATAACATATTAACTATCTTTATATAGGGATAGTTCTTATACAACACTTAATATTAAAAAGTTAGTAAATGGGAATTACATTAATAAATTTTGATCTTTTTCTTTATATCTTTTATCATTTTGAAAATAGTTCTCTAAAACTTTACAAACTTTTCGATATTTACATCTACAGGTATTTATTTTTAATAAATAAATCTTTCAAAATGATTCTCTGATTTTTTAAAAAAAAATAATAGCAGTGATAAGGAAATCTTTGGTAATTTTCTCAAAATAGCTGCGGCAGTAACTTATTTCGAGGATCTACATACATCCTTTTAAAGCAAGGCAACTTTTATACATTTGATACTATTAAATATTTTTACATAATAATATATTCTATACTTCTATTTCTTTATAGAGTAACAAAAATTATAATAAGAGAAACCAAAATAGTAATAATAAATTTTACAAATTTATGAAATTTTAAATAAATAAATAAATAAATAATCAAAAAGTTGTCTATAATATAAAATTACAAAAAATTTAATTTTCATCATCTATCTATTTCTATATATAAATATGTGTGTATTATCTACTCCGTAAATATTCATCATGAATGTATATCTTATTTATGCCCAAAGAGCAGCATACGAACCTTTTAATCCAAGATGTAATGGACCACCACCAGAGAATAATTTTGTACCCGATTCATCATAAGAAAGTGTATAAATTGCATTTTGAATAGAGGAACCAGAGAAATGATTTATGTATACAGCATCACGATTCTATATAAAGATTTAAATATTTTGGTTAGAAGGAGAGAATGGAGAAATAAAATAAGATTGAATTTATATTGTGTTAACTAAATAATTTATTTTATTTTATTTACCAGCCAACCAGATCCAATTTCTCTATAGTTACGAACAACAGAATTTTCATTATTATTATTATCATCATCATTGCTATTATTATTATTATTATTATTGTTAATATCATCACTATTGTTGTTGGTGTCATTAATATTACTAATGTTATTCACATTAGTAATACTATTATTATTATTATTATAATTATTTATTAGATTATCATCATCATAATAATCTTGTTGATAAATATTTAGATCGTCATTAGTATTTATGGAATGGAATTCCAAATATCTTTGAGCTCTTAAATCATAAAATGATAATCTTCCATAACCACCACCAATTGTTATCATATGATCATTAAAATTCAAAGATCTGACACCTTTGACCAATAATAGCATAAATATATTAAATTATAAATATATGTATGTAATTATAGATCATGTAATAATAAAAAATTTCTTTGGTCCTTACCCCAGCCTTCATCAACTGAATCTATTTCGTGAACTATTGAGGATGAAATTCTTGGATCTAAGATTGAAACATGAGATTGTGAACCAACGGCATATAAACTCAGTTTTGCATTCATTGATAAGCATACATTTTCATTTGTGTGATTAAGTTGAATTTTTGCAATCTAAGGAAGTTTGATTAGATATAAATATATACTTATAAATTGGAGAGTCATGTAAACAATTAGAATATAATAATACATACTCTGTTAAGGTAAGAAGAATCCCATATCTTAACATAACCTGCAGTTGAAAGAGTCATTATTTGCTAATTATAATATATTAATAAACATTAGGTTATGATTTGTTTTGGGATAAAGTAAATGATTGTTTAGTTTTGTTATCTTATTGGCAATTACCTCTGTTTTTGGATTATATTTCAAATCCCTTACTTTACCAATATTCCCAGATCTTGTGAGTAAAGATTGATGAACATTGATGTATTTATTAGGGAGGATGGGTAATTCAGAAACAATTTTTGATTGAATTGACCAAAGTCTGATTGTACCATCACGCGAACCTTAAAATATTAATTTATTCAAGATTGTAAAAAAAATTTTATGAGAGGTTTTAAATATTATATTTTTGAATATATAATATATTAATTGTTACCTGATACTACATGATCATCATCTAACCATTCAACAGAAAATACTAGATCATTATGACCCTTAGTATAAAATAAACAAAATTTAATAAAAAATTTTTAATATGAGCTCATCTAAGCACATAAATATAAATATAAATGTAAATATAAATAATTACAGCAAATACAGCAACAGGATCAAACGAAGGTAATTCATAAATTGTGACTTGATATGGTTTTCCGGCGCCCACAGCTAAAAGTGTCTTTGACGGATTAACGGCAATACTACGGATTCCTGAACAATTTCCGTTATCTTGATTATTATTATTATTAGCGGTGATGGTGGTGATATTGCTATTATTACTACTATTAATAGTACTAATAATATTACTAATAATACTATTATTATCATTGATGTTATTGTTATTATTTATTCTATCTTCTTCCGTTACCAATGGAATTTCAAATCTTTTATTATTTTGTATGTTAAGTATTAAAAGCTTTTCTCATAACAACAAAAAAAAAAAATTAATTGAAATCTACAAATTTATAATATTATTGATTCAATAACATAATAATATATAATACCTTGTTACATTTGGTTCCTATAACAATTTCGTCATATGATATCCAATGCGATGAAAATATTTTATCATGGTTTTCCATATTTATTTCAGATTCTTGAATTAATTGTGGTATTTTACTTGAAATATATTTTGAATAATTTCTTGGAATACTAACAAATACACACATATTGAATGATTGATTAATTAATTCGTAGATGATTGAATTACTTCAGAGCGATTATAATAATTACTTAACGTACTATGGTGAATTTAAATTTACTTCTCGTCCGTACAAATAATCTGTTATTCGTTCGTGTTTTTCCTCAGGAAAGCTTGTTTTTGAAATTAAAAAAAAAAAAAACTAAAAATTAATAAATAATATTCATAAAGTTATCATATCAACCACCTCCTCCCTATTCATTATTATAATAATAAAAATACCTCCAAGGTTTTACTTCTGGTTGTTTAGAAAAAAAGGGCAGTTTCAATATTGCCATTTTTATGATGAGTATGTTTCTTTAAAAACCCAAATTTATATTTAAAAGTCTACCGAAAAACTAAGTTGTTAATAATATTCTTGAAAATAATTGTGCGAAAAAAGGAGCTGGTGATTTATTATTCAATGAAAATATGTTTAAAAAAATTAAATGAGTGTGTATATAGGGAATGACAATAAGAAATTAAGACTGAAAAATTATATCTATGTATTTTTAAATGAGTTAATCAAACAAAAAGAAAGAAAATAAAGATAGATAAAATGATCTAAAGAAAAGGAATGTGAAATTTGGAAAACCTTTTTTATTAAACGTATATATATATAAACAATTATTTTTTTTAAATTGGTGTGACTGTCTTTTGTCTTTTTTATTTATTTCCTATTTTGTGGTTTATACACACTAAGAAATTGAGGCTAAGTAAATTGCGTATAAACATATTAATAATATATTGATTTATTTGTATTATTTTATTTCCTTTTTTATTAATAAAAAGTTTTTACATGTATATATATATATACATGTGTATGTATGTATATACATGTGTATGTATGTATATACAATAAAAGTTTAGTGAGCATATTCAAATTTGGTTAATACAAAAATTTTGACAATTTACATGAATATGTTGTGTAGATCACATCATACGGGCTGAAATTGGACATTTCAAATTTTGGTGACACAAAATTGTATTGTTTTTATTGTTTTTGATTAAATTTTAAACCAATAAGCTAAAGGCATTAAAAAAATTGTGCAACTTCAAATCACTAAGGCTTTTTTTTTAAATTAATAAAAAAAAGTCTTAAGTGAGGCGGGCATGGTTTCGAAGCTAAAAAATGCTCTTTGTGATGGGTTACATACATAAGTGTCATTAACTCAAAATCGACTTTGGGCAACATTCCTCGTTTCTATTGAAAAGGCCCCCCCATATGTGACATTTGATCTGCAATATTCTGAGACTGTTAAATTTTTTTTTTGGATTTTAAAAAAATCACCACCATTAAATAAAGTTTGTCTCTAAATTTTTTTTTATGGATTTTTAAATTTGAGAGTTAAGCTCAGAAATGCAATAATAATTTTCGTGTTGCAATATTTTGAATTGCATAACCAAATTTGATAATGCTTTTCTTTTGATGTAATATGTTCGTTAAACAATATATGTTGTTGTTGTAGAAAATACTCTATGAAAAAAAACTTATCGGTTAACTTTTTTAAAAATTTTGAAGTATTTTGAATTGTCAACACATTTTCCATGTCACTATCTCCTTCTAAAACCCGCAAGTCGTGCGACTTCCCATGCCGAATCCCAACCATTATTGGTAGAAAATAAGGAAATCTTATCTTAAAAAAACCTTGTCGTGTAACTGAGGTAGAGTTTTCCTTCCGTGCAGGCCTTTTGCCGATTGTCTCTTTTTACGCCTGACCGTGCCTGGTTTTTTCGGTTTTTGGCACGATCAACGTTTTCACCATATTAGCAAAAATTGTGTCGTACGGCAAATGTTTTGTTTTATTAATTCGCAGATCATTTATCAACCAGAGAATTTTAATATAAAATGATTGTTAAAATTGTTATGTGGGGGGGCGCTCTAGGAAAAGAAGGGTCGGAGATTTTTGATCAAAAAAATTTTTTTTATATAACATTAAACTATAATATGATGATTGTATATAGTTGGTGAAAAAATCGAACCCAGTTTATTTAGTACAAAATAAATTTCTTGGGGTAACAAGTTTCTTCAAAAAGTTTAAAAACAAAATAAGCAATGATTTACACACTGCATAATTTTTTTGAATATTCGAAATGATATGAGGGGCGCTCTAGGAAAAGAAGGGTCGGAGATTTTTGATCAAAAAAAATTTTTTTTTATAATATTAAACTATAATATGATGATTATAATTGGTGAAAAAATTGGACCCAGTTTGTTTAGTACAAAAATAAATTTCTTGGGGTAACAACTTTCTTCAAAAAAGGTTAAAAACAAAATAAGCAAGGATCTACATACTGCATAATTTATTTTTTCAAAAAAAAAAAAAATATTCGAAATATTAATTATTTTTTTATAGAATTACAATTATAAATAAAAAATTAACAAAAAAAAACAAAATAAATGATTACTCGACCATATTTCAATCATAATAAAAACTAATTAGGATTAGGACAAAGAATATTTCTAAATTCTGGGTCTACATGTTGACGAATTTTGTTATACAAATATCTTTTTCTATCTTCTGATAATGGAGCAATTTCAAGTACATCTAATTGACTATTTTTATCAAAATTATCATCCTTTAAAAGTTTGAAAGGAATTTC